TCCTCCTCCTCCTCCTCTTCCTCCTCCTCCTCCTCCTCCCCTTCCTCGTCCTCCTCCTCCTCCTCCGCCTCCTCATCCGCCACGTCTTCATTTACCTCCGACGTCTTATCACGCATCCCGTCACCCTCGATGGCCGAGGTATCCAGGGTCGGTGGCACTGGCCGTAAGGCCTTAGCAATATATACATATATATGTATACATACATACATACATACATGCATGCATGCATGCATGCATGCATGCATGCATACATACATACATACATACATACATACATACATACATACATACATACATACATACATACATGCATGCATGCATGCATGCATGCATACACACACACATACATACATGCATACATACCTATATGCATACATACATACATACATACATACATACATACATACATACATACATACATACATACATACATCCATACATACATACATACATACATATATACATACATACATACATACATACATACATACATACATACATACATGCATGCATGCATGCATGCATGCATGCATGCATGCATGCATACATACATACATACATAACATACATACACGTGTATATATATATATATACACATACAAGACTGCAGTGGCGCTTTGCGCCAGGCACCTTGGTCTTTGAATATTGGTATGCAGGCGGAAATGGCAGGAAGGTCAAGCGGACAATTTTGCGATAACTCCTTGCTGCATTTTCTGGCATTGCCATTATAATGTTGTTCGTTATCCCTCCTCCATGCTTATTTTTCCTCATTCTCGCCATACCCTGGGTATACTCCCCATCCTCCTCAGCTCTTTTTGCGGAGGCTCCTCCTTGGAGAGCCTCTGGGGGCCTCACCAAAGTTCTCAGGCTTCCTTAAAGCCTTCTGGAGGCCTCCTGGGCGTGTTCTGGGAGCCTCAGGGGCTTCCTAAGGCCAACCTGCCTCTAACCGCAGTCGCCCTGAACGCCCCGGTCACGATTTGGAATGCTTCAGAGGGTGTCTTGGAGCCATCTTGGACCGCCATGGGGTTCTCTTAGGGCCATTTTGGACCCCTGTTGTGCCGTTCTGGGGCTCTCTTGGACTGCCTGGAAGCCCTTTCGGATGGTTGCGGGGCGATTTTGGAGCCTCCCAGGCGACATCGGACGCCCAGAAGACCGCTGTCTTGGAGCGTCGGGAAGCCGAAAAGAGGAGAACCCGAAATTCACCAACAACGTACATTAAATCGATGGTTATTCCCTCTTGGGGCCTTCTTGGGGGTGCTCTTGCAGGCCTCTTGGTACGTTTTGGAGCGATCTTTCGGGGTATGACGGCTTCTTGGAGCGCTCTTGTGCTGTCTTGTGGTTCTCAGGGACGTCTCCGATGACCCCCCTGATCGCCCTAGGTGTGCTGCGAAGGCTTGGCAAAACGCCCTGCGCGGCCCGGGGGGCCGCTTCGAGGCCCGTCCGAAGGGTCCCTAAGCCCCAGATCCCAGGAGTCTGGTTTGGGGGGGGGGGGGGGGGTCCCCCCGTCTTGGCTTGCAAAAATATAGGAAGAGGCATATACACACATATATATATATATATATACACACACATATATGCAGGTCTTGCCTGAGGACAGGTACTGTGAAGCCCAATGCACGGCCGACGCGAGCGCGCGCCAAGCCCGGCAAACCAGACTGCATCTCACGTGTATCCCTGCTGCTGTATCCCTGTATCCCTGCTGTAGCCCTGCAACTGTTCATATAAACTGCTGGAACCCGTTTCTCCATATTTCGCGATGACGCCTGTGACTGGCCACGCCCCCCTCCCCCCGGTCTGCCTCCCCCCGGTCTGCCTGGTCACATCACGATTCGCGCTGGCACCGTCTGGGGGTGAGCCATGCATGGGCCATTCCTTAGCATTCCCAGACGGCGCTGGCGCGAATCGTGACACTACTGGTCCTCTCCTCCCACCCCCAGTCACGCCCGCTATCGCCAGGGAGTAAGACAAACGATCTCCTGAGGACTGTTTTGGCGGTGGGACCAACCTAGACGAACCAAACCATCGAATGGCCAAGGCCAGGAGGGGTAAGTGAAGCTGGGAGCCGTGCAGCCGTGCAGCGGGCGAGTCAGGCGATGAGGGGCCAGCCAGCAGGCGCTTGCAAATTTCGGGTGCACGTATACAGCTGGCCAAATATGACGCGTATTCGTGTTCGAAGCGATGCAGGCACGAAGAAAATGAGATGGACAACGCCTTGCCATGAGAAGGACGGGCCCTGCTTCTCTCAGGCATGCGTTTCGTCCGGAGTGTTCAGCAAGGGGCCCGAGGGACTGGAAACTGTGAACATCTCCAGGACCCCTTTCCCGAATGGCGACCCTCAACAAATCTGCCTCCAGACCTCTCCAGGGGTGCGTTCTGGCTCGAGTTTCAGAGGGAATTGGGCCATGGCGAAGAGATCCACTCCCAGAGGCCCAAAGATCCGCAACCGTGCCCCCTGGCACATTGAGGCGTGGTAGAATGCCAAGGGTTGTCTGCATGAATTACGATTCTATTGTCGGAATCCCCCTTATCTCGCCACGCTCAGTTGCGTGCACCGCACCTCCTCATGGGACCGCGGAACGTATGAGGGGCGTGCCGAACTGGGGCGGGGCCACCATGCGGGCGCTGCTACTGGGGCCCTTCGGTGTAGCTCCCCACGGGGCCATACAACGGGAGGGATATGCCAAGATCGGGCGGGGTCGCCATGCGGGCGCTGCCACTGACCTTCGGCGGAGCTGCCAATGGGGCCGAGAAACGTGTGAGTGATGTGCCGCAGTGCCACTGGTGATGGTAACGACGACGACGTCGACGTCGACGACGACGGCGACGACGACGAAAACGACGGCGACGATGAGGATGATGAGGATGATGAGGATGATGAGGATGATGAGGATAATGAGGATGCCGATGATGATACTGATGCTGATGCTGATTCTGATGCTGATGCTGATGATGAAGATGAAGATGAAGATGATGATGATGATGATGATGATGATGATGATGATGATGATGATGATGATGATGATGATGGTGATGATGATGATGATGATGATGATGATGATGATGGTGATGATGATGATGATGATGATGATGAAGATGATGATGATGATAATGATAATGATAATGATAATGATAATGATGATGATGATGATGGTGATGATGATGATGATGATGATGATGATGATGATGATGATGATGATGATCGTGTTAGTAGTAAGAGTGATGAAGATGTTGGGGGGAATTTGGAAACCAGAGACGAGGAGAGGAGAAAGCGAGCGCAGCGGGAGGAAGGATTGGACGCGACGGCGCGGGGCGCTGTCGCTTCAAAACGGGGATCCAACACCACAATACTGTTGGGTCCATCGTAAGAAACTGTGGATCCGCGTTCCCGAACTTTCAAGAAGGCTGAGGGAGGCAAACAAGATCGCCGGTATGGCCCATGATGCCTCCAAGACGGCCCAAGATAGCGCCCAAGGCGGCCCGACATGACCTCAAGGAGGCCAAGAGGGCCCCAAGAGAAGGAATCTCAAGGAGGGCACGACGAAACAAACATAACCAGTGCCCATACGACATTGAAGCATGCTCGCAGCCTCGCCGTTTCGGGCGTCAGGCGGCTCCAGACGGCCGCAGCGGCCCCCAAGATTGCCTCTGGACGGCCTCAAGACGGCCCAAAAGGGCTCCTTACACGGCGCAGGCCAGCTCCGAGAAAGCTCCAAGCTAGCCCAGGAAGGCCTTCGGCGGGACCCAAAGGACGGCCTTTGAGACCCCCCTCGACGGCTCCAGGCGGCCCCAAGACGGCCCCACGACGGCCCCAAGCGACCCTGGACGGCCAAGACGGCCGCCAGATTCTCCAAATTAGCCCCGAAACGGCCCAGGAAGGCCCCAAGACGGCCCAAGAGCGCCCCAACGGACTCCAAAGACTGCCCCACAGGAGCCCCAGGCAGCTCCAAGACGGCCCAAGCGAGCTCCACGAAAGCTCGTCACCAAGTGAAGACGAAAGGTTTCGCATGCGAAAGCCTTCGGTGCTGAAAGCCTTGTCACCCAGCGGGCTGAGCTGGCACGGTAGCCGGACTTGCGGCAAACACCTGGATAAATCTACTCATCGAACTTGTTGGCTTCGAGCGAGTCCCACCGGGGAACTGCTGTGACGAATTTCGAAGTCTACCTTGTGCCTCTACAGAGGGAGTTGTGTGTTTTCTGTACTTGAACTTAGATGCGATGTATGTTACATGCGCCCTTTATCGTTGATGCGATTAGCGCGTGTTACGCGTGTCTGCTGTGTAAGAACTATATCAAAAGACAACGCCCAACCACGCTCGTAGAATACTTGCGTGCGCTGTGGTTGTACGACAAGTATGTCTTAGTGCCGGATCTGAGCCACTACTCGCTTCACATGTGTGTACAGTGTGGACGCACCTGTGTGCTGGATCACTGCGACCGATGCACTTTATGAGCGCATGCTTGGTATTTCTTGCGCACGTAGATGCTATTGGTACTTTCTGATCGTACGCGAAGTGTGCATGACATGTGTCAACGTTGTTTGTAGCAGACTCTCCAGTAGTGCGGTATGTGTGTGCGTGATTTGTTCATTTCAAGTTGAACTAGTTCGGGTGATTACTTGCGTCGTGTAAGTCGGTGGCTGCGTGATGCCATGAACATAATGTATGCGAATGAACAACCCATTCGACTGTCCGTTAACGCTGCTGGTGGCGCGAACCATGTCATGTATGTTGCGCCTGTCCGGTTTCAACGAGTGTTCGCACGTTCTGTGCGCGAGTTGCGTTGCCCGTTATGTGTATGGCATGCGTGGTTCACCTTTTGTGCCATAATGTTATGTTCGCGTGGCCTTTACGTATGCCCTGGGCGCGCGATGCGCATGCCTTGGTTTCTATCAAGCGTTGCTGAGCTCTGTGTAAGCTACATGCGCCTGACATGTTTTATGTGTGTGTATGCTGATACGCACGCCGTTGCCTTACCATACGTTCAATGCGTCAGTCATGTATGTTTGGAAGTCACCTCGCGGCGCAGCGTCAACCTCCAGGTCTGCTGGGAGCGCGCCGCCGCTTGCCAGCTCACGGGGCTCACCTTGGGGGCACGCGAGGGGAGTGCCGCCGGAAAGGTGCACGCTTTCGCCACCAAAAGCAGTCCTAGGCCACCCAACTTCGCACACCGCGCCCCGCGACGCGCGGTAATCTGCGCGCCACTCGCAAGGCCAGCTTGCACAGGGCCGGCCATGGCCCACGCCTCGGCCCGCGAAGCACGGTGATCTTCGCGCCCCCCAGGAGATGCCCGCCAGAACGCGCGTGCGGGAGTTGGGTTCGACGTCGTCGGTGTTCGGAGCTGCGAGAACGCCAGGCACGAGGGTTGGGGACCCCCTGGGGCTCCAAGTCTGGCCGCCATCGCCGCATTCCCCACAACAGAAAAAACGAGCAAAGCGCCCCTGACGCGGTGGAGATCGGCCGATGCTTCGAGCAGCGCCCACATGTCAGGGGATCCAGTGAAACAGAATACAGCTGGGAGGCCAGCTGCACCGCCAGATGGGCTCTGAACTGTGGACCCACGCTCGCTAGACCTTGAGATACGGGAAAAGGAACCTGAGACGTGCTTGTCTCTGGAGTCCCGAAACGGTGCGGTGACAGACCGTGCGGTGACCTCGAAATCACCCAAGGCCTCACCGCACGGTCCGTCAGCGCACGGTTTTGGGACCTCGGGTGCCCCAGTCGCCCGAGACGTCCTCGGAGAACGACCCGAGTCCCAGAACCGTGCGGTGACCCCGAATCCCCCCCGACTCACCAGACGGTGTGGTCACCACCCCGTTCGGGGGCCCCCGATGGTCAAGACTCGCAGGGGCAGCGCTCCGCAGTGCCATCGGCCTCGACGAGGGGACAAAGGAGGCACCAGGGAGCCCCAAAACCGAGAGGCGAGGCGCCCCTCCCTCAGGGCGGCATAGCGGGCCCTGGGCCCGGGCGCCGCCTCCAGAACCAGCTCATCATCCTGGGCCGTTTTCGACACGGGAGGCCTACATTTCGTATCGGGCATGTTCTCCTACAGAGGATCTTGGACAAGGCATGCAAAATACTGTCATCAGGTAGTGGTCCACATGGTCCCAGCAAGAAATCGATACATCGCCCCCCGACGATATCTGTTGCTATGCTTGAATGCTACTCCTGTCAAGGGGCATGCCCGACTTGAGGCTACCTCTGGCCATCGCTCGGACGTCCATTCCCTGTGTTTTTTTTTCGGTTTCGTGCGTGGTTCTTTCGTCAAATCATCAAGGATGCTCCTCGATGGTCCTCGCCGAAGGAAAAATGCACACGTCCGATCGATGCCAAGACCTCGGCGAAAACCTGCTGGACCCCTGCCCGCCAGGACCCCGAACTGTGCGCCTCACGCCACGCGCGGCGCGGCGCGCGGCTCTCTGCGCGCCCCCGCGCTCTCGCACTGCCTCCCCCTCCCCCTCCCCTCCCCCTGGAGAAGGGCAACTCTCCAGTCCAGATCGCGACACGCGAAACGCGCGTTTTGTTTTTTTTGTTTGTATGCATGCATGTATGTATGTATGCATGTATGTATGTATGTATGTATGCATGCATGCATGCATACATGCATGCATGCATGCATGCATGCATGCATGTATGTATGTATGTATGTAAGTATGTATGTATGTATGTATGTATGTATGTATGTATGTATGTATGTGTGTATGTGCGTACGTACGTACGTACGTACGTATGTATGTATGTATGTATGTATGTATGTATATATGTATATGTAAATATGTGTATATATATATACCCGCAGGGAGGAGGGGGGAGGGAGCCCACGTCTACAACAGTAGGGGCCCGACCACAAGAGGCCTTCCACAGGAAGCCCAACCCTGAGACCCCAGGACGTCCATTGACTCTTGGTGTGGGAGCGTCACGCTTTCCATCGCAAAACCATCGAAACCCAAGAAACCCACGGCACCCTGGCAAGCAGGGTGATTCTTGGCATGGGCCCCCACTGTACACGCAAGAGTGGCCATGGGTCAAGGGAACCTTTGGTGGGCAGCTTTGGGGGGACCGCGGGGGGACCAGACACAGAAGCGCAAGACGCTACTATCGCATCGCGTTCGGCTACCTGGGAGCCCCACGGGGCCGGCACCAAGAGTCACTCCGGCGAAAGGTCACTTTTACGTCTAGTCGACCACGGTACAGGGCCCTTGGAGACGAGCGAGGGGGCCCGAGGACGGCAGCATTCCAGGGAACAGCTTGTGGGGAAACTCTGCTTTCGGGGGAGCGCAAATGTGGATTAACGATCCATGGATTTGGCGCGCGGTCGCCACATCCATGGATCGGGGGAGGTGCCCTCCCCAAAATGCGGCCAGCGCGGCCTCGTTCGTCGGCGGAAATCTGCGATTTACCATGGAAACGGGACCCGTCGCTAATCCACGCCCCCTTAATCCATGTTTACGATCGCCTGATGCTTCCGAGCTGTACGGATTCCGCGCAGGCCCCCCAAAACACAGCGAGTGAGCGCAGGACGAACAGGCCACCCACCCGGCTCCCCTCGCATGACGAAACGAACCGGGAACCTTCGGGGGCAACTCATGGGAGCCTGCCATACCATCTTGTATTGAGGGCAGAACATCCACCCCGATAATAACCACCCCGACACGCGAAGCCGTTTAGCAAACGCACCCAAAAAATGATACAGGGCAGGGCTATTTAGTAAACGCCCAGGGCCGTTTAGTAGACGCAAATTGTCCGGTCCGAGTGTTCCTCCCTTGATTGTTGGCTCTTGTGGGTCGACGCTAACCGACGCCAATCCACGCTCATCGAAACTAAATCGACGCTCATCGACGCTGATCGAAGCTAGTCGACGCTAAACTGGCGCTAATCGACGCTGGGCGGCGCGAATGCACTCTAAAGACGGAGTTGCGAGGGTATACAAGCCTTCCCGGAAGCGCCGCCGAAGGGTGCACCCCGCGCCGCCAGCTGCTCCAGAGCGCCCCAGGATTCGCACGGAACAGAATTCTGGATCGGTGCATCTCCCTCTTATGTCCCATCCCCAGGAAGCAGGTGACTCCTCATTGCACCGACCTTGCAGACGTGCTGCAGCGGATCTCTGCATGGATTTCTGTCAATGCAAAACCCCGAAAAGCCGAGCAAAAAACGACGTGAATTTCACGTGGATCGTTGGTAGTCTTCATTCCTGACCAAGAACAATCCGCACGAAAGCCTAGAGGTTGACACCGACACCAATTTCGGCGGTGTGCCTCCACCGAGGGAAGAAGATCCCGACCTCGGCGGTGGTAATATTCTGGCTTCCACGGTGGCCGAAATATTACCACCAACGCCGAAATCTAGGATGATCTTCCCCCTGTGGAGTTGACCCCCCTGTGTTGATGTTGGCACCCATTTCCAGGCCTCCAACATGATGACTCCAGAAGCCCACGCCGGGCACCAGCTTCCACGGCGGACGGAAGGCCTGCGCATGTGCCTTGGCTCCCGCTGGCCCTCGCCAGGCCGCGGGACGGCGTGACGGCGGGCGGTGAGGCGCCCCCGCCCTCCTACAGGCGGATTTTGGAAGGCAAATTTAAAAAGGCCCCAACAGATTCAAAAGATAAGCAAACATAGTCAAACAGTCGTCCCCAGGCAATGGGGAGGGACACGCCCGACGTAACGCTGGGGGTGCCCGGAGCGGCGGCAGCAATCTGGGGGCGCACGCCTCCCCTGCGAAGTCACGCAGCTCCTCCTGACCCTCAGAGGCCCCCCAGGAGCCCACCAGAGCCCCCCGAAACGCGAACACAGGCCGACGTCGTCGATGATGAATTCAGTCGACGGCGACGACACAGACGGCGACATTGACGACGGCGAAAGCTGCGTCAGCTTTGACAAGTCGCGGTGGCGGCCGTCGGCGGTGGCGGTGGCGGCCGTCGACACCGCGTCCCGGTAGCTGAAGTGACAACAGCGGGGGGGGGCAAGCAACTCCGCGAGAAAGCCGGGGAACCCCCTCCCCTCCGCCGCCTTTTCTCCCTCCCTCCATGCCCCTCTTCCCCCTCCATCCTCCTCTTCCTCCTCCTTCCCCTGCACCCCCTTTCCCTCATAGTTGGCCTCCCCCTCCCATGCATGCAACACCCCCCGACGTGCCGGCAGGGCGGGTTGGGCGTTTCGCCGGAGACTTCCTCGCAGTGTATGGCCCTTCTAGTTGGCCTCCCCCCCCATGCAACACCCCCAGACGTGTCGGCAGTGCGGGTTGGGCGTTTCGCCGGAGACTTCCTCGCAGTGTGTGGCCCTGGCCTCCAGCACACGTGTGGTTCTCGTCTGAGGCGCCGCGCAGGTTTTTGTCCACAAACGGAGTGCAGCAGCTCCAGGGACGGAGGGCGGGCCGGTTCCCGAGTGCTGTTCCCTCGCCTCCGCGCCACGCGAGCTCGTCATTAAAAAGTCGCGGCAGCTCCCAGAATGGAGGGGGGCTCGTCTGCAAAATGCCGCTTTTGCCAGAAAGCGCCGCGCGCCAACAGATTGCAGCAGCGTCCAGGATGGAGGGCGGATCATCTCCAGAATGTGCTCTCGCCTCAGCGCCGCGCCAACTTAGTCTCAACATATACAGCAGCAGCTTCAAGGCTGGAGGGCGGCTCCCTCTGAAAATAATGCTGCTTTCGCTGGAGTGCCACGCGCATTCTCCTCCACCTTCTCCTCCTCCTCCTCCTCCTCCTCCTCCTCCTCCTCCTCCTCCTCCTCCTCCCTCCTCCTACAAGTGAACAGCGGTTTCCACTATCCCCAGGGCTGAAGTGCCAGGAATGGAGTCCTGGCACGGTCCAGGGTCTAGGACTGCTAGGGAACTCGGAGGGAGGGATTATTACAACGTCGTTGATGTGTGTTGGGTTTCCACTGGTCCTCCGTATTCTCCTCCTCCAGCTCCCCGCCCCCCTCCTTCAGTCATCCTACCCCTCCTTCCCCCCTTTTCCACCACCTCCTCCTCCTTTTTGTTCCTTCTTTTCCTCCTTCCTCCTTCCTCCTCCTCCTCCACCTCCTCCTCCTCCTCCTCCTCCTCCTCCTCCTCCTCCTCCTCCTCCTCCTCCTCCTCCTCCTCCTCCTCCTCCCTCCTCCTACAAGTGAACAGCGGTTTCCACTATCCCCAGGGCTGAAGTGCCAGGAATGGAGTCCTGGCACGGTCCAGGGTCTAGGACTGCTAGGGAACTCGGAGGGAGGGATTATTACAACGTCGTTGATGTGTGTTGGGTTTCCACTGGTCCTCCGTATTCTCCTCCTCCAGCTCCCCGCCCCCCTCCTTCAGTCATCCTACCCCTCCTTCCCCCCTTTTCCACCACCTCCTCCTCCTTTTTGTTCCTTCTTTTCCTTCCTCCTCCTCCTCCTCCTCCTCCTCCTCCTCCTCCTCCTCCTCTCCTCCTCCTCCTCCTCCTCCTCCTCCTCCTCCTCCTCCTCCTCCTCCTCCTCCTCCTCCCCCTCCCCCCCAACAGCAACAAAAACAACGACATCATTTTTACCACCCCTCATTTTAGCCCCTCTCCCTCCGCCGCCTCGTCGTCGTCCTCCTCCTCCTCCTCCTCCTCCTCCTCCTCCTCCTCCTCCTCCTCATCTCGCCTTCACCCCGTACCCCTTCGCCGCGCCCCTCCTATCTTCTCCCCTTCACTTCATCGTTCCCCTCCCCCTCCCCCTCCCGAGCCCTCCGCCTCTGCCATCCTCCTTCTCCGATATCCTCCAAGACATCCTTCGTTTTCGTCGGGCACTGTTGGCAAGGGAAATATTGAAAAAAAGGTGCAGCGGTGGTGGTTGGGATGCCAACCGTGGTACCGCAGGTGAAGCCCCCAGCCTCGAATTCGCAGGTGGCTTCTGCGGGCGACCCCCGTCATTCCTGCCCTCGAGGGGCCAAAAAAGGCCAGCGGGAGAAACAAATGCTAAGGGACGACAGTGCGTACGGGGGACGGACTGTGTTCCCAGAGGAGGCGCGCGGATTTCCAGGGGCCCTCGGGCCGAAGCAAACTCACAGATCTCCATTCGATGTTACTGGCCAGACTATTTTTTGTCGACTGCCCCTCGGCGAGGAGAAATAGGAATAGGATACGGAGGAGGAGGAAGAGGAGGATGGGGACCCTGAGATCCGACATTCCAAAAATAGAACGCCGCGGCAAATCACGACCGGAGCCTCAGACCCAACCTGTCAACTACATTTTTCGAGCCCGATCTATTCGCGATGGTCCGGGTGAGTAAGAAAAGCGGCAACGCTTCGATTTCAGCGAAGGAAAACGGGGGGAGGAGGAGGAGGAGGAGGAGGAGGATGACAGGACACAAAACGTCCGCATAAGGAGGTTTACGCCGACACCTACAAATGAGCTCTGCGTGCGACTAGCACAAACCCCTGCGATGAAATATTGTCACGCACCCCATACTTATCCTGGAACGGGCATGGGGCATACCCCGAAGCTCAAGGGGGCGAGCTCCGAGGTGGCCCCGCGAGAGAGGCTCGCTGATGAAGACGAGTCCCTCGGATCAGTGCGAGGGGAACAGCTGCTGGCCAGTTCGCGTGGCCTCTCTGGGGGACGCGCCAGCGAACAGGGCTCCCGAGTAGGGGGTCCCCTGAACCCTTCTTAATGCGTGAGCAAGAGTGCCCGTGCTCTGAGAAGTCCGCCCCCCTCCCCCCCTCCACCAACACAGGAGCTCCAGCACTCCGAGATGTCGTCCCTCGTGCTCCCCGCTCTCACTACGCCGAGACAGATGCTTCCAGCGCCAAACGCGCTCAGGTTTCGCTTCCCGCGCCAAGAGCGCTCAGATGTGCTCCACCTCTCCTCTTCCTCCCTGTGTTAGATCACACGTATACACCAGAACATATCGGGAAACATGCGGCAAATTCAGAAGATGGGCCGAGGACGAGAGACAGGGAGGCAACGCAGGGGAGAGAGGGGGGGAAGAGAATGAAGGAGGCCCCATGCACCCCAGGCACCTGCTGATGGGCCTGATGAAGATTCTGCTTACATCCTGCGGTCAACGCTTCGAGCAGAATCGCTCCCCCCCTCCCTCTGCCCCCCTCCGCCTCCCCTCGCTGCGCCGAGACAGATGCTTCCCGCGCCAAACGCGCTCAGAGATGCACAAGCTCTGTTCATTCTCCCCCTGCAAAGTCGCACTTCTTTGGAAGGTCTGGGCATGCATGCGGCACACGCAGGGAATTGAAGCACCATCTCTGTTCAAGGTGATGATATGTCTACGAACGTGTATGTGTCTCCCACTTGGGTAACACATCCTAAGGATACCCACTCTGAAATGGCGTCTTCATGTCTACCAGAAATGCAGCTCATGCCTCTGATAACCAGTTGTTGCTGAATTTACACAGCGGAACCGAATATGCCAAGCAACCCGTATGTACTTCAATGCGCCGCAGACCATAAACTTTATTTCTTCAGCTTCTTCGACTTGGTCAACAATGGCGTTCTGGAGCTGGACCATCTCTGCCGGGCTCGATGTGATTTTTCCTGCTCCGCAATGCATGCAGAAATCTCATGTTTCTAACTCTGCCAGTGCATCATCCACTTCCTGCTGTGCGAGACCAGGAGGCAGCTTTTGTTGAATTGCGTTCGCCCGAAGCAAGGAGCCTGCATTGTTCAGAAGCTCCTCGGGAACTTCCTGCGGTATGTTCCGATTTGCCGGCAGAGAGGCCATGGGATTTCGAGGTTCATCACTGGCGGAGGCCAGTGGCCTCCGAACCTCGGGGCCTCGATCTTCCCTTTGGTTCCTGTCCCACTGGCGCAATTAATCCTATAGTTCCATTACTAACTAATCAACCAATCCAAGCAAATCGTCCTCTGTTTCTCCGCCACACTCCAATCTTCCATCGGAACCAGGGTAGATGCGGCATATGAAATTCCCATCACCTGAAGAGCAGGGGTCTTTTGGTTTTCGGAAGTTCTTCATCGGTCGCAGCCGATGACCTCCGAACCTCAGGGCCTCCATCTTCACTCGTACCGTTGTCGTATATCTTCGCTCGCCGCCGACCAAACGAATGCACATCAGGACCTATTGGACTCCACTGGAGCAGTCAATCTTCAATGTCTTGCCGCATATGTTCCCAATGTTCTTATTATTTCAATGAGTTCTCGAAGCTCTTCATTGGCACCCTCCCGTTGCCTCCGAACCTCGGGGCCTCCATCTTCCCTCTGGCGACCGCTGTCCAGCGACGGCTCTTGGTCAACCAAGTGTTCGCAGATTGTAATCCTGGCAACCTGGCATTTCCAAGCGTGGGTACGGCAGATCCGGTCTCTTCGTATTTGGCGCGTCGTACTTTTTCAAGGTCGCACCCCAATCCTCTATAGTCTTTCGGAAAACGGCGGCGCAAGAAAACTCCGTCACCAGATTACGACCCTTCAAGCGGCTTGATTCAAGCGAGAAGAAATCGCGAAAGATACGGGATCGGAATGGCCTCAGGGAGCATTATGTTTATTTTCCGTCGTCCCACCTCCCGTCACTGGAGAATGTATGGGGCGGAAGTCGCGTGAGTGGGTTTCAGTGAAAGTCCTCACTCCGTCGGAGCTCAAATTGCCTGGGCCTCCAACGCCGACTAGGAGGAGGAGGAGGAGGAGGAGGAGGAGGAGGAGGAAAGAGGAGAAGGAGGAGGAAGGGGAGGAGGAAGAGAAGGAGGAAGAGGAAGAAATCTCCGTTACATGAAACTGGCTGAACTATGTTCCCGGCTGCCCCTCGGTGAGGAGGAGGAGGAGGAGGACAGAAGGAGGAGGAGGAGGAGAAAGAGGAGGAGGATAATGGGGAGGAGAAGGAAGAGGAGGAAGAGAGAAGGGAGGATGAGGAGGAGGAGGAGGAGGCGGAGGAGGAGGCGGAGAAGGAGGAGCAGAAGGAGGAGGAGGAGCAGGAGGGGAAGGAGGAGCAGGAGGAAGTCTCCATGTCGTGCCATTCCTGGGGCCACCTGCTTTCGGACAGCCCCCAGGCCACCGTCGAGGCCCACCAACGTGTAGCCCGGGCCCAGGTCGAGGTCGTCGTCCACGAAGGAGGCGCCCTCGGATGTGCCGATCGGCGCGGCCCTCTCGGCCTCCGCGAGCGCCTGCCGGCGGGCGGCCGAGCAGCGGCAGGGAGGGAGGGAGGCAGACCAAAGAAGGCAACATCCAAGGAGGAAGATGAGGAGGAGGAGGAGGACGAGGAGGAGGAGGAGGACGAGGAGGAGGAGGAGGAGGAGGAGGAGGAGGACCATCGCACGGTTTGGAGGGTTCAGGTGCACCGCGCGCCCCGCGCCGAGACAGCAGGGTCACCTGCCGAAGTGAAATCCGCACGGCCCCGCTGGGGGGTCTTTCCTCCGCAGGCGACGGGCTGGGAGCTGCGGCTGCCGCCAGGGCCTGGCGGTAGAAAAGTTCGAGGGGAACTGGAGGGCAGAAGACCTGGCGCGACCTCGGGCCGATCCGAGGGTGGGCCAGCAGCTGCGCTCTGGCCAGCTGTTCAGTGGCTGTCTTCGACTGAGGCTCCTTGTGGCGCTCCTTGAACAGCAGGCCCCTGGTCCTCGTTTCGGAATACGAGCCGCTATCGAAACACATGATAACCGTGCTCGAGTTGAGCAGGTATTCAAGTGAAAAAAAGGCGGTGGCCCCTCGGGTTTTGCGCTGAAGACGCAAGGCCAACACAGAATCCAGGGCAACGCTCGTTGATACGACGGTGATCGTTAGCGTCGCTCGTGGCCCCAGTTCGTCACAGAGTGAAGATGTGGCGACCACTCATATACTCCCACCGATGTCGCTCGCCTTCGTCCCCAGGGGCAGGAGGAGGCGGAGGAGGGCTCGGAGGAGAGGGGGAACGGCCCCTGGGTCCCAGGCATAGGCCGCTGAGGCTGCACCTATCGGTGGGTTCGTGCTCTGAGGTTTGTCGAGGGCTTTCTTCCCAGGACGCGGGGCCAGCGCGGGCCACTTGGGTCAAACCTTCGCAACGAACAAACAAGAAACGGCGCAACAGACAAACGTCATAACTGAGCAACTCGGCCTCGGCCCCCGAAGGCCTACATAACTTGAGAGCGGCTCTCTTGGCCGCCTTGTCTGCTGCATCGTTACCCTTTGCGTGATCCAGAGTTTCTTGGTCTTCAAAATCCTGGGTGAGGTCCTGATGGGCTTTGACTTTGACGATACGACACTCAGGCGACACATCAGCTCTGCATCAGGACCGTGAGCCCTGCGTGTACATTCTTCCTGGGGTAGCCAGGTCGACTATACAACTGCAACGCGCCAAGATAGTCCGTGTGGACCTTCAGCACAAGCGTGGATATTGTGCAGGCTGCCACTGTTGCGAGCATCTCGGCTGCCCTTGAGCGTTGAAGGAACACATTCTCCTACTTGGCCCGAGCGGATGGAAAAGAACTCCTTGTCATTCAAGGAGACGACGGCCCAGCCTGCGGTTCTGTCTGAGGGTTGTTGAGACGGGTCGCAGCTGCCATCAACATACACCTGCCCAGCGAACGCGTTTTCAAGCGAGCATTCGGGGTCAGTGCACCAGAAATCACAATTGCTTAGCCCCGTGCTCTCGGGAGCTCCTATGTTGAAATCTGGCGACTGTTGATATCCAAACTTTCTAAGTGGATCTCTGTCATGCGTTGCAATCAGATCCAGCTCCTCGGTTGAAAAAGCTTCGGCTCGCTCCGAATGGACCAGGGGATACGAAAGCAAGCGGTGACTGATGGAGTCCGATGGGGCTCCGCAATCACACGTGCAATACATAAATATACATATATATATATGTATAATATCCTGCATGTTTGGCTCTGGTTTTGGTCCAACAGCCTTGCGTTAGAAAAGTTAGCAGACTGCCTCTATCTTGCTTGCTAAGGGCAGTGCTGAAATGAACTCGGGAAGAGGCCCTGACATCTAGGGTGGCCCCAGGGTGTCCAAGCTTGGAGCCAGCGCTTTCGGCAAGCTGTTTCTCCCAAGCCCTTTTCATGAGGCTTTGAACGAACCCTGGGGAAAAATTGTCAAAGGATACTCATGGCCTTCTCTGCTCTGGAAAACGCGAGGGGGGGCCAGCTTCCACCCAATCCATTGCAAGGAAAGCTGCACGGCGCCGAAAGGCTCACGCACACTGCCCCATCTGGAGGGGGCTTGGCCCATGAGGGGCTCACCGCGGGCCCGCAGACACGGTAAGGAGGAGGAGGAGGAGGAGGAGGAGGAGGAGGAGGAGGAGGAGGAGGAGGAGGAGGAGCGAGGAGGAGGAGGAGAAGGAGGAGGAGCCAGGAGAAGGAGGAGGAGGCGGAGGAGCCAGGAGAAGGAGGAGTAGGATGAGGAGGAGGAGGAGGAGGAGGAGGAAGAGGTGCGAGGAGAAGGAGGAGGAGGAGCACTCGCAGGTCCGATGGAGCTCGAGGGGGCACCCGGCCCAGCTCGCTCCGCGAAAACAGACATCTCACGACGGAGGGACCTCCACCGTTCTCGGCCTCGTGGCAGCGCGAGGGGGGACGAGAGGGGAGGAGAAGCCATCGGGCGTTAGTCCGCCGACCACCAAGCCGCTGAGCTCGCGCGTGCATAGACCGCTCAACCCCCCCCTCTCCCCCGGGCAGTGCCAGAGGCGGCACCCGCACGAGTGTCCCACAAGCGAGTAAGCCGAACAACCCCTGGCAAGGTCACCAGCCCAGACGGAGCGGCCGAGCCGGATGGGCAGACACGCTACGCCGCCGAAGAGATCGTTTTTCGTTTTTGGGAAATCACCCGGGTCAATGATCCGATGGGGGGAGGGAGGCGCCGACCGAAAACCTAACCTCTTCGCTCTGGGCAACCCCACGAATGCCCGCGCGAACCAATACTGTTTACACCCTTCGAACCTGCGTAACCGACAAGGTCAGGCTATTCGGAGGGGGTACGGGAGTAAGGGCATCCCTCGGAACCTGGGTTATCGGCGGACCCTTTAAAAAACAGTCTCCAATTCCACGGCTACCAGGGCAGCGTAGGCAACCAAGAGAGGGCAGTCGAAGAGAGAAGAACACAGCAGGGGAAACGCGGACGGCCTGGTAAGTACACGACGATACACATACGATGCACAGTCTTGCTACCAGAACTCTTGCAGCGCATTCTTCGGCGATCTTTGAGGGCCATGAGGTCCCCAAAGCTTCAGTGGTTCCCTCTGCTGGTAGGCCGAGATTGTATATGGTGTGCCTACTGCGATGTGTTTCTGGAATTCGGGTGCACAGGCAGGGAAGCTCAGGGAGCAAACGCCGCTGCCGCTCCGCCGCCCCCAGCTACCAGGAACCAGCGTCAGGGAAAAGCACAACAACGTCAAGGCGAGAGTGCCACTCGAAAATACTGGGCTGGAAGACCTATTTACACGACCTGTCAGGAAGCTCCTGTATAGAAATTGCCTGGCGGAAAGGGGCCGAGGGGATAAGGGGTAAGCGAGAGGGGAGAGCGAAGAGCTGGGTGGAGCGAAGATCCGCCGACCCCCGCTTGCCGTGAGTGAAGAGGCGTGCAGGACATGCGCCTGTCATCCGCAAGGTCAAAAGGCAGTTTGAGGAGGGGTGGGGTCTGGGAACTCGCTGCCGCTCCTTCCAGACGGCCAGACAATCCCGCGAGAGCCCCCAAGAAGGGCACCATGGGGAGAGCTCGCGGCGGCCCCGAGAGCCCTTCCCCAACAATGCAGCCCCCCAGCCCCCCGACATTGGGGAAACAACAAGGTACCGACACCGTTGCTCCCTGGACCTCTCCCGGGGTGCGTTCTGACCCAAATTTCGAAGCGAATGTCATCCCAGGAGGCCCCAGAGGGGGAAAGCGGGCGACGGGTAGTGGTATGGGTACCTGTTCCTCCTCCGAAGCATGCCCCCAAGAGGCCCACAAGAAGCCCCCAGAGGGCCCCACTGAACCCCAGGGAGTCTTGAACAAAAACTCCCGCGAGGTCCACCCCCGAGGCCTCCAAGAGGCCCCCAAGAAGCTCCGCAGCAGACGCGGAGGAAGAGGGGGACAAATCAGCGAGAGCTACACGCAAGCAAGGCGACGTAAAGCGGGAAACGGCTGACATGGGATCGGAAACCGCACGCATCCCTTTCTGGGGGGCTTGACGGCATAGCGTGGGCATCTTGAGAGTCCCCCGCTGCTGTTCGCAACGTGAACCCCACGAGATATTCTGGACCCTGTTCGTCCTGGGTCACCGCGGACCTGGCCAGGTCGGCCTGCAGCTGCATGAGGCACCCCTCAAGAGGCATACGTTGCCAGACAGAAGAGACGCCACCTTGGACTTGGAGGCAAAACGGTTCCTTCCCGACTCCATCCCCCAGTCTCGAGGCAGCGAACAAGCAGAACCTCTGGAGCCTTGCCCCAGTACCAGATTTTTCATCCTGAGCAGATCTCTGGCGGTCCCGGGGGCTACGTGAGCCCCCTCTGGAAAGCGAAGGTTCCCCCCCAAACCTACCGCCATTTATTTCTCTCACAATACAGGGGAGGCCCGTCCACAAGAAGCCTTCCGCAAGAAATCCCAACCCTGAGACCCCAGGACGTCCACTGAGTCTCGGTGTGGGAGCGTCACGCCTTCCACAGCAGAACCATCGAAGCCCAAGAAACGCAGGGCACCCTGGAGGCAAGCAGAGTGCCTCTTGGCATGGGCCCCCACTGTAAGATGAGGGGGGGGGCCCGGGAGGTCCTCTGGAGCCTTGCCCCAGCACCATATTTTTCATCCTGAGCAGATCTCTGGCGGTCCCGGGGGCTACGTGAGCACCCTCTGGAAAGCGAAGGTTCCCCCCCAAAAACCTGCCGCCGAATTTTCTCTCACAATACAGTGGAGGCCCGTCCAGAAAGAAACCTTCCGCAAGAAACCCAACCCTGAGACCCCAGGACGTCCACTGATTCTTGGTGTGGGAGCGTCACTCCCTCCATCGCAAGACCATCGAAACCCAGGAAACCCAGGGCACCCTTTGGATGGAAAATCCCAAATACCCCAAATTACTCCAATGGATGGACCCCACATGAAAACCTCATTTTGTATGGAATATGTACACTATCAGAATGATGCTGCTCCTGCTGATGACGCTGCTGCTCCTCCTCCTCCTCCTCCTCCTCCTCCTCCTCCTCCTCCTCCTCCTCCTCCTCCTCCTCCTCCTCCTCCTCCTCCCTCCCCCTCTCTCCTCCCCACTCGTCCTGCTCCTCCTGCTCCCCCTCCTCCTCCCTCCTCCTCCTCCTCCTCCTCCTCCTCCTCCTCCTCCTCATCATCATCATCATCCTCTTCCTCCCACTCCTCCCCCCTCCCTCCTCCTCCTCCCCCTCTCCTCCTCCTCCTCCTCCTCCTCCCTCCCCCTCTCTCCTCCCCCTCGTCCTGCTCCTCCTGCTCCCCCTCCTCCCCCTCCTCCTCCTCCTCCTCCTCCTCCTCCTCCTCCTCCTCCTCCTCCTCATCATCATCATCCTCTTCCTCCACTCCTCCCCCTCCTCCTCCTCCTCCTCCCCTCCCCCTCCTCCTCCTCCTCCTCCTCCTCCTCCTCCTCCACCTCCTCCTTCTCCCCCTCCTCCTCCCACCCCTCTTCCCCTCCTCCGGCGCCTTTCCGTCTCCGCCTCGTCCTCTTCCGTCCTCCTCGACAAACGCCCATTTCAACCATCTCCTCCTGAAGTCACCGCGGTTGAAATCCCCCTTCCTCCTCCTCCTCCTCCTCCTCCTCCTCCTCCTCCTCCGCCTCCGCCTCCTCCTCCTCCTCCTCCTCCTCCTCCTCCTCCTTGCATGGAATGCCCCTGAGGGTCCTTCCGTTCGAGGGGGCTCGCTGATTCCGATGGCCGTTGGAATTCCAACTTTTAGGTGGGACCCCCTAGGGGCCACAAGGGAGGTCCCTTCCGCGCGAGCGGGTTCGCATGGAATGCCCCTGAGGGTTATTCCGTGCGAGCGGGCTTGCTGATGCCGATAGCCGTTAGAATTCCAACTCTTAGGTGGGACCCCCTAGGGGCCACAGGGGAGGTCACTTCCGCGCGAGCGGGCTCGCATGGAATGCCCTTGAGGGTCATTCCGTGCGAGCGGGCTCGTTGATGCCGATAGCCTTTGGAATTCCAACTTTTAGGTGGGACCCCCTAGGTCCACAGGGAGGTCCTTTCCGCGCGAGTGGGCCCGCATGGAATGCCCTGAGGGTCATTCCGTTCGAGCGGGCTCCCTGATTCCAATATCAGTTGGAATTCCAACTTTTAGGTGGGACCCCCTAGGGGCCACAGGGGAAGTCCCTTCCGCGCGAGCGGGCTCGCATGGAATGCCCCTGAGGGACATTCCGTTCGAGCGGGCTCGCTGATCCCGATAGCCGTTGGAATTCCAACTTTTAAGTGGGACCCCCTAGGGCAGGGGAGGTCCCTTCCGCGCGAGCGGGCTCGCATGGAATGTCCCTGTGGGGTCATTCCGTTCGAGCGGGCTCGCTGATGCCGATAGCCGTTGGAATTCCAACTTTTTGGTGGAACCTCCTAGGGGCCACAGGGGAGGTCCCTTCCGCGCGAGCGGGCTCGCATGCAATGCCCCTGAGGGTCGTTCCGTTCGAGCGGGCTCGCTGATTCCGATAGCCGTTGGAATTCCAACTTTTAGGTGGGACCCCCCTAGGGGCCACAGGGAAGGTCCCTTCCGCGCGATCGGGCTCGCATGGAATGCCCCTGAGGGTCATTCCGTTCGAGCGGGCTCGCTGATTCCGATGGCCGTTGGAATTCCAGCTTTTAGGTGGGACCCCCTAAGGGCCACAGGGAAGATCCCTTTCCGCGCGAGCGGGTTCGCATGGAATGCCCCTGAGGGACATTCCGTTCGAGCGGGCTCGCTGATTCCGATAGCCGTTGGAATTCCAACTTTTAGGTGGGACCCCCTAGGGGCCACAAGGGAGGTCCCTTCCGCGCGAGAAGGCTCGTATGGAATGAATGCCCCTGAGGGTCATTCCGTTCGAGCGGGCTTGCTGATTCCAATATCAGTTGGAATTCCAACTTTTAGGTGGGACCCCCTAGGGGCCACAGGGGAGGTCCCTTCCGCGCGAGCGGGCTCGCATGGAACGCCCCTAAGGGTCATTCCGTTCGAGCGGGCTCGCTGATTCCAATATCCGTTGGAATTCCAACTTTTAGGTGGGACCCCCTAGGGGCCGCAGGAGAGGTCCCTTTCGCGCGAGCGGGTTCGCATGGAATGCCCTTGAGGGTCATTCCGTGCGAGCGGACTTGCTGATGCCGATAGCCGTTGGAATTCCAACTTTTAGGTGGGACCCCCTAGGGGCCACAAGGGAGGTCCCTTCCGCGCGAGCGGGCTCGCATGGAATGCCCCTGTGGGGTCATTCCGTTCGAGCGGGCTCGCTCATAGCCGTTGGAATTCCCTTCCGCGCGAGCGGGCTCGCATGGAATGCCCGAGGATGATGATCATGATGTGTTTGTGTCTGTGTGTGTGACTGGGTGTGGGTGTGTGTGTGTGTGTGGGTGTGGCACGCGGCCGTCCAGAGAAAACAAAGACCCCACTGAGGATTTGGGGAAAATGCACCACAAATATTCAAACATGATCCAGACATCGTCCCCAAACTATTTTTTACCTGTTTTTGAATATCCCCCCCTGCAGAGGGACAGGCCCGACTTGACTGTAAGATGAGGGGGGGCGGGAGGCAGCCGAGCGGGCAGGCAGGAAGGCTTAAGGGAAGTCTTCGTCGGCCTTCCGGCGCCGACCCCCTGCCGCGCCTGCTCTGCACGGAGGGAGTCTCGGAGTTCCTTGTCCTTGCGCGCCCTGACGATGGCCTGCAGAGGGGGGCAGGGAGGAAGAGTGGGGGAGAGAACGGACTTCGAGTAGGGAGTCGACTACAGAATTGATGAATCCCAAAATTGCTTTTCCGTCGAATCTACGAGAAATACGTAGACTACCCCGTAGATCTACAGAGCAACGTGTTATAGTTTTCGTCGATTCGACTGAATTCTGGGGTAAATCAATCCTGTACTCGATCCCCTACTCGAGGACTGAGAGGCAGGTGGGAAGGAGGAAGGAGGCCAAGAGCGGGGAAGGAAGGGGCAAGGAGGGAGGGATAGACAGGAAGGGGGGAAGTGAGGGGGCGGAGGGGGGGGGGGAGGAGATTTCAGGAAGAGGCACGCAGAACTACAAGCGCGACCCCTTGTTCTATCTCTCCCTCTCTCCCTCTCTCCATCCAGCAATAGCATCGCAGTGAAAAAGACTCTCTCACAGCTCGGGATAAGACGGCTCTGTAGTGGAGCAACGGGATCTTGAGGTTCAGGCGTCTTCACCTTCGGGGAGGCCGCCACCTACGTGTTGACCAGCCCGAACAAGTCTCAGGTGTGCAGCAGTGGTTCTTCTACACCTACTTTCTCCTTTTCGTTTTCTCCCTTAAGGCGGCCCGTGTCAAACTTCATCATATACGTGTTTGGAGCCAGGGACGCTTCTCGAATTGTACGGCAGCTTCTTTGTGGGTCTTTCGAATGGCGGACACCGCCCCGCACGGGCCTCACGGACTCTGGCTAGTGGAACAGCAGGAGCGGGTCATGAGCCGCTGGCCCGTCGTCCAGTACTTCACAAACAATGTCGAGTTTCCCAGGCAGACGTTTCCTCTGCAATTCGTGACTGGGCTTGGGCCCGTAAGGATCATCCGCATGTCCTCACTATATTGAGTTCAGTGATGGCACCGCTGCTCGAATATGTGGACGGAACTCCACCGCCTGAGTGGCGCCCCATGCGTACAGTATACCTATGGAGCATAATTGGTGTGTGCATGTTCATGTCTAGAGTTGCTCGTTTGCGGCAAGCGATGCGATTTCGGACCCTCCCCAAGTGGGCATCTCGTCTTCTACCCCTACTGGCAGACGAGTGGCGACAAGCATTTACGTGTTGGGACCATCCGGTAATAGCCAAGGCCTTACAAAGCTTTCTGGGATTTCCAGTTCGTGATGCGGCTGCAGTGGTGTATACATTGGCCAGCCATTCAGGCGCCTACATTGGAAAAGCTGTTCTCCGTACAGGGCCTCTACCTGGACTCCTCGGCCGGTTGGCCGAACACGTTCGGGCACTCCTTCATCCGCGCGGGCATCCAGGCAGCCAAATCAGATATCGGCGACTGCGCCGCAGCTTGGGCTCGTGCATGATTATCCTGCTCCTCTGGGTTCAATCGGAGCGGGCCGCCAGCTGTCACGTCGACGACGCGCTGGAGACCGCGGAGCAGAGCCGCAGGGTTGGGCGGGGACACCTACACGTTGTGGGCAGGAGCCGACGGCAGCAGCGAAGACGTCCACCCTCCTGGCTCCGTTCACCTCGTCCTCGCGGCGGGTTCCCAGGGTGGGCGTCGACGACCCCAGATGCTGATCCGCAGTTTTTGCAGAAGGACGTCCAGACTCACCGTGACAGGCTAGCGTCTTACCCAGGTGCGCTGTCGGAGTCGGCTCCGTTTGCACGGCTCTACCGACTACAGCTGGAGGAGCAGGTGATTCAGACGGGCGAGTTTGGCCCGCTCAACATATTCGAGATGAAGCGCCTCGGCTTGTTTCTCGCCCTCATGGCCGCGAAGTGGGTGGACCTACCAACGTTCAGGTTTCTGGCTCGACCTGCCGTCGGGCACTTCTACTACTATGCGGCAGCCAACGTCGACGTGTTCCTCACGACGTTCGCGCGCCAGCGCATGGCGACATATCATTTGGACCTCCACCTACGCAAGCTCAGGTTCCCGTCGCTCCGCATCCCCGTGCTGAAGCTTCCACATGAGCTTCGCCATCTACATCGCCAGAGATGGATCGCCAATCAGCTGTACAACATGGCCCAGGAGATGAAGATGGCACCAGCGCGTGAACGATTCCTCAAGCCGCCGAAGGTGGCGTTCCAAGGGCAACGGATGTGGCGCAATGCCGTTTCGTCCAGCCGGTTTTGTGCCGAATATGAGTCTACAGCGCTCCCCGAAGCTCCACCCGATGGCCTCTGGACTCAGCCGCCCTACTTGCTGAAGATGTTGGCCGGGCACTGGCGCCTTCCGGTATGGCCTCGCCCGCAGTACGTCATGAAGGCAGCGACGCGGGCGACCAACGAGTGGGCGCAGGCTGTGCGATTGCCTGCAAAGGTTGTCCGCCGAGGCCTCTGGAAGATACGCAACACGTTTGCAGAACCCGAGAATCGGGTTCGTCCTCCACCAGTCCTGCAGATCTGGCAGCAGTTCGAGGCGGAGATGGAGGCTGAGTTGCAGAACGCCATTGCCGATGATAAAGAAGCCGATCGAGTCTGGCAAGCGTGGGGGCCCGACGTCATCCGCTTCCTCCACCAGCTCTCCCTGAGTGACTCGGACTGGGTGCTGCGTCTCGACATGACGCCGCAGGCTGCTGCCATGTGGCTGTGGGCCCGGGCCCGCCAGGCCCTCCCTCCCTGGCTCCAGACCAGGGCGTGTCTGCCGAGCCCGTGGAAGAAAACCAGCCCACCCTACGTTTTTCCCACGGTCAAAAGCAAGTGTTTTAGCCGTTCGGGTGAACACATCTGTACAACACCGAACCACAGTTGCTTCCGGCGAATTATAAATTGTGCCGGGGCTCCGGGTAGCCGAGGGTTTAAAATCATAGGTCGAGCCGCTCGGGCGATGCTGGAGTTTAGTGGTCTTTCCCGAGAGGTTTTTAGTGCCCCCAATGCAGTCTCCGAGGTTCGGGCCCTCCGTGCCTCCCTCCCCTCCTGCTGCTCCTCCTCCTGCTGCCGATGTGGGTCCCCGATGCCCGAGGTTTCAGTAGTAGTTGCGGATGCCGACCAGGCTTTTGAACAGTGTAGTTCCAGTTTGGTTTCGAGGGCCTGGACCGGCATAGCCTCCCACCTGGTCTCCGCCCTGGCCACCGACTGCGGCCTGGTCAAGAACTCCAAGGCTCCGAAGACAAAACGATGGCGAGGAGCAACCCCCCCAGGGTACTTCAAGGTCACCGTCCAGGAAGTGGGGAACGATGTGTCCCCCGTCCAGGATGAGGAGGAATCGGAGCCGAGCGCGAACCGCGAATAACTTCGAACCCTCGGGGGCGCCCTTGGAAAAAGGTCAGCGACGGCACCTATGAAAGGTGTGGGCTCGAACATCGCAGCGCAGTTGATGAGGCTCTCCTGCGGACCGTCGCCTGCCTGAACACTCAACATCGCGACGCAGGTGCACAGGAGCACAATGGCAACACGAGAGCGCAATCCTCCTCTTCCACCTCCTCCTCCTCCTCCTCTTCCTCCTCCTCCTCCTCCCCCTCCGCCTCGATCCTCCTCCTCCTCCTCCTCCTCCTCCCCCTCCGCCTCGATCCTCCTCCTTCTCCTCCTCCTCCTCCCCCTCCGCCTCGATCCTCCGCCTCCTCCTCCTCCGTCTCCGCCTCCTCCGCCTCCTCCTCCTCCTCCTCCTCCTCCTCCTCCTCCTCCTCCTCCTCCTCGTGCTACCATGAGACACGCTGAATGGGTACCGAATGGGGCTTTTCTGGCCACGGCGGGCCCCGGCCACGAAGGGGTCCCCCGACCTAGATGCAAGCCGGGCCTGCCCCTCTACAGGAGGAATGATTGCAAAAAAACGAAGGATTGCAAAAAAACGAAGGGTTTTTTTGCAATCCTAGGTTTTTTTTTGCAATCCTTCGGTTTTTTTGCAATCCTTCTGCAAACATAGTCCGACAATGATATGGGAACGACCCTTTGACGAGGTGAGAATCTGGTTTGAACTGTCTGGTTTGACTCTTTGTACGATTCGTCTAAACTCCGCCCGTAGGGGGGCATGCCCCACCGACACCTGGATCTGAGGATCGGCCCGACCACCAGGGCCCCTCCTGAGCTCAAAGCCTTCCTCACCTCACCGTCCGGACTCTCTGCGTTCACGCCCTCCCTCCTCGAGCTTCGGCTCCGTTGCCCCCTGCCCTGCCCCTCCCCCGGGGTGCCTTCTTCTTGCGGCGGATGCGGGGCGTGCGCGCCCGGTGGTTGGCGTGGAATCCTCGGCAGCCCGTGCCCTCCGAGCCCTCGGCACGAGCAGCAGGAGGCTCGAGGGCGAACGGAGCGACACCTGTGGGCTTCGCAGCTGCGGGACTCGATCCCGCCAGGCACATGTCGGCGCTGAGCACGTGGGGGAAGTGAGAAGGGGCGGGCCTTCTCGGAAGGCTCGGAAGTCCCCCGGACTTCTGAGAAGTTTTCTACGCTTTCCCCCAAGAAACAGGAAACTTCTCAGAAAGCGCAAGGGCTACTGAGAAGTCCCCCCTCGTTCTGAAAAGGCTTTCTCCTTGTCATGTCCCCCCCTCGCTCGCCGCCGAACATGGAGCCCACCCGACAAGAATGCGCCAGGGACCAAAGCCCCAGAAACACCTTTGTTCACCAGCCAACCCTCAAGCAATGATACCTGTCTGGCTGGTCGCTGGGCAGATCGCGATCTGCTAGCCACGCGACCTGATCATATCGCAAACAGACCACGCGATCAACCAAGGCCGATCGCATGATGGGGCAGAGCCGATTGGAAAAAACTACATCCCTGCCGCCGTGGTCGTTGACCACGGGCTCGGCAGACTCTGAAACAATGTCGAACAAATCTCACGAAACATCGGCCGACGGCACCTAATTGTATGGTATATGTATGTCTGTATGTCTAGTAATGCCACGCGCGCTTCGCGCGCGCTTAGGTTCTAGACCATCCATCACCGACCAGAGTGTCAGCGAACGGATGTTCTGATGAAGCGTGACGCTGATAAGCTCATACATCAGACTTGTTTCAATCGTGCCCATCTCTTTCCAAATTGCCTTCAGAAGGCGCCAAGAGGCCCGCAAGAGGCCTCAATGGGGCCCACAGAACCTTCAAGAAGCCACCAAAGTGCTTCTAATGGGGAGGAGGTAGATAAGGATAATGGGGAGGAGAACGAGGAGGAAGAATATCATGATGCGGCGGGCAAGGAAGGGGTCCACATGACCCGCGCCAGATCAGGCAAGGCGCCGAACTGCAGCGTGTCTTAGACGAAACATCTCCGAGAGATCCACATCCGCACTGGTTCGTGCAAGAATGCGGTAAATCATGTCTGCGGTTGACAGGCGTCTACGTGCACCTACCTCCATGGGAACGCCATCCCCACATCCTGGACAAATCGCCGTCTCGCGACAAAGTCTTTGGTTGTTGCGTATGCACACTTACAGACACAACCGTTGCCCGTACCCAACGCGAGAGCTCTACCTCAACAGTGCGCTAATCCACAACGAGCTTCATCGTTGCGGGTACAAATGGCGAGCGTCTCTGCGCGACCCGCTCCTCGACCACACGGGGCCCTTTCGGCAAACCACGCTCCCAACTCGGAGAAGTGCTATCGTTATGTCGGGCATGTCCTCCTGCGGGCGACTTTTGCAAGAACCAGTAAACACAGTCACAATCTACTTTTTCGTCGATTATAGAACCACTCTTCAAACATACTTGGTGGATACTACTTTTCAACATTCACCCTGTAGAGAGACATGCCTGACATAATGCCATCGCCTCGGCGCCCGCCTCTCCGTGGAGGGGGCAGCATGGCAAGCGATTGCCATCGGTGCCCCCTGGCCCCCGCCATCGCTTCATGGGCCGGGCGAGGACGGCGGAGGGAGGAAACGGAGCGAAGGAGAGACGAGGCGGAGGGAGGAGGGCAAGGGACAGAGCAGGGAAAACAAAGGGGAAAAGGACAGGGAGGGAGGAGGAAAGAGAACGCCTCGTGGCAGTTTCCCGGGGGCGGCCCTGGGGTGTCTTCAAAGCCTTCTCCTGGAGCCTGTCTCGTGGGGTCTCTTGGGGGGCGGGGGTTTCGGGGGCTCTCGGGGGCCTCTGGGGGCCTCTTGGCGGCTTCTTTGGAGTCTCTTGCGCGCTCTTTGGGTTTTCTGGAAGCCTGTGGTGGCAGCTTGGGCGGCTCCCGTAGGCTTTTTCGGAGCCCCTTGGGAGCCTCCCTGGGTGCTTCTTCGGGCGTCTTGGTGGGATCTCTAAGGGCCGCATGAGGCGTCTCCAGGAGGCATCTTTGATCTCTCGTGGAGATCATGCGCAAGCCTGGGAAGCGCATCGGAGGCGAAAACGCGAGAATCCCCAACATTATAGATTTACCTTGGGCTCCTCAATGAACTGGGCCTCTAGAGAGCTTCCTTGGAGGTTTCTTGGGCGGTGGTGGGGGCGTCTTGGAGGCCTCTTGGCAATGTCTTTGGCGCTCGTGAAAGTCTCGTGGCCGTCGGGAAAGTGTCCTGGGCCGTCGGAGGGCACTTCTGGTGCCTCCTGGGCCGTCTCGAGGCCCTCAGGGGGCTCCCTGGGAGGCCCGGGAGAGCTGTACCCGGGAGATGCCTAAGATGGCATCGAAGTGGGCGGTGCCCCGGGGGGGATTCTTGCTTATGTTATGTTTGGGCTGGGCGGGAATCTTTGCATTTAGCGTCTCTGGGCCTTCTTGGGTATCCTATTGGGGCCCTTGTCGGCTTCTTCAAGCCCTCTCGAGCCGTCCTGGGATCCATTTGGGGCGTCTTGGAGGGATTCGGCTGTCTTGGGGCCTTGTTGGGGCCCTCTTTGGGAGCTCTGGAGGCCCTCTTGGAGCTCTCTTGACGCCACATGGGACGTTTGGCCTTTCTTGGGGGCGTTTTTGGGTCGTCTTGGGGCGCCCTTGGGCCGTCGTGGGACTCTCTTGGGACGTCCTGGGGCCATCTTCGGGAGCCGCTTGGGCCGTCTTGGGCCGATTTCTGGGGCGGCCTCGTGGCACTCCTTTTGCGGGCCTCATGGCCGTCTTGAGGCCCTGTTGTGTGGTCTTGAAACCATGGTGGGCCATCTTGGAACGCTCTTTGGCTATCTTGGGCTCTCTTGGAAAGCTTTTGGGCCGTCTTGGAACCCTCTTGGACGTCTCTTGGTTCCTCTCGTCGCCCCTCTTCCCCTCGTTTGACGCGTTTGGGCGCTTCCTGGCGAGTCCAAAACGGCCGGATACAAAGTCAATGTTCCTCAGGGCCCATGGGACCCGCTCCCCATTTGTGTATACACCTCTCTCTCCTTCTCTCTTTCTCTCTTTCTCTTTCTCTTTCTCTCTCTCTCTCTCTCTCTCGCTCTCTCTCTCTCTCTCTAGACATATATGTGTACATTACCATCTAGCTGCTCAGCCAGCAATTGAAATGCGCATGAGACATGCGCACGCGCGCAGTTTTCGAGTGTGCGTTTTCACCGATGGTGGAACATGCATACTGCACAACTGGATCGCACATGCTTCCACAGGCGCGCCCAAACTTGCTCGGCACGACGAGCATCTCTGGCCCCGCAGAATCGACGAGGCGGCATGTGGCTAAGCTCTTGCCACTAGCAGCGCAGACATTGACCATCCGCGAACTCGTGACGAGAAATACCGACATCACCAGAGGGCAGAAAATCCACCCCGAGAACAACCACCACGACACGCGAAGCCGTTGAGTAAACGCACCCAGAGAAGGGATCAAACAGGGCAGGGATGTTCAGTAAACGTCCAGGGCCGTATAGTAAACGCCAATTGCCTGGTCCGGGTGGTATTTCCTTCCTAGAAATTACCGTCCCCAGAAACCGTCCGCAGTGCTGCGTCGTCACCCGCGGCGTTGGCCTGAAAAGGAACCGGCTCCTGGGAGAGACGCGGAGGCCAGCCCACATATAGAGCACGTAGCAGGCCATCCAAGAAACTGGTGCAGAGACACAGCGTAGGAAGGCGATTCTGGTACGCTTGGCTTCGGCAAGCCAGAGTCAGAGGCAGCGTAAGCAGGAAAGGAACGAATTCCGAAGTAGGACGGGGCTGAAAATATATCGGAACCTGGGAATTCAACCGTATAGTTGTACCACGAGCGGCCTCTATACAATCATCAAGCTCGCCCAACCGACATCAACAGAGTAACGGCGACTGGCGACCGGGGGATACAGGCCACCTGGCGGATCAAGGCCGCCGAGGTGGTGGCGGGTGACACCGCGGTTCCTCATCTCCTGCCAGGCTGCTTCCAGAACGGGGCTGGATGGATGGATGGATCCGAAGAGAGAGGCTGCTGAAGGGGACGCCAAGCAGCAAGACACAAGGGCGTGTGAGAGAGGGGGCAGGGGGTCAGGAGATAATTAGGGAGCAAGGAAGAAGGGACAAAAGAGCCATCCGTGGGAACGAGAGTCCAGGAAAGCATGAGAGGCGGGAAGGTTGGGAGAGGGCACGAGAAGGAGGCTGGGAGGCAGGAACCGACGAGGACAGCGGGCGTGGGAAAGACAGCAGGGAAGCACGAACGAACACATAGAAAAGAAACAGGAGAGCACGAGCGACTGCGGCGAAGCGCAGGAAGCCCGTGCACGAACGACTTGAGAGGCCCGCCCAGGCCAGCGAGACAGCACGGCCCCTCCGCGCGCCCATGCCCGGTGGAGCCCGCGATCCTGCGTGCCTCAACGACCGCAGGGAAGCGGCAGGACCGACTCGGTACATCGGATCGGGTCGGGGGTGTGCATCGGACCGGGCCGCATTGGCACGGAGTCGAAATCGAATCGGATCGGCTGCGCCAAGATGTACAGTCGGGGCGTTGACCTAAGGAACCCTAAAGAAGGAACGAGGCCCCTCTCTTCCACAAGTTAAACTTCGATTTCCCATCGAAAACCTAAGGAAAGCCTGAGGCAAGCTGTGAAACTCTTAAGGAACACGGAGCCCCTCCCCAACGAAAAGGGCTCCTTCTTCAGGGCCCCGACTGTGCAACAGCTCCGTGCGCACGCCGGGCCGCGTCGGATTGCAAAAAAGACATCGGAACCGGACCGGGTCGGGCCGGCCAGAACCGGCATCGGACCAGACCACTCGCATCGAACTGCATCCTGCCGAGGCCAGGGGGTGCAGCCGAGAATGGATTCTTCGCCCTGCGATCATCGGGTCTTCCTGGCCTCCACCTGCCGTTCGGCCTTTTCTCGGCGGCGCGCCGAGGGGGGAAGCGAGAAGGCGCAGTCCTTCTCAGCAGGCCGCGGGGCTGCTCAAAGCCCTCTGAGATCGTGCCATCGCAAGGACGTCCATTCCCCACGCATGTTTCGGCTTCGTGCCTGTATTTTGTTGCTCGATATGGAGGAGGAGGAGGAGGAAGAGGAGGAGGAGGAGGAGAATGCTCCTCGACGGTCCTCGCCGAGCAGAAGTGCACACGTCGGAGCGATGCCGAGGGAGCCTCCGGAGCCTTCCGAGGAGGCCCGGCCCCTCTGCCGGCTCCTGGCAGAGGGGGCCTTACGCAGGGGGGCCGCAAGAAGAGATGCAGCAGTTCATCCTGTGGCTCGGCGGCGAGCGAAGGGGGGGGAGGTGAGAATTCTCATCTCCCCCCGCGGATACCTCGCGTTTTTTTGTTTGGCTTGCATATCTACCTCGCAGATCTGGACTCCAGAGAGAAGGAGAAGGCCTTCTCGGAAGGCGGCGGGGCTCCTGAGAAGATCTTGCGGCCTCCAAATGGTTTTCGGTGACTCCGGAGAAGGCCTGGAAACTTCTCAGGAGGCCGGGTGACTTCCGAGCCTTCTTGGCAGGCCCGCCCCTTCTCACTCCCCCCCCCCCGGGCTCGCCGCCGAGTGGCGCAAGGCGCGTGGCAGCCACGTGCCGCTATTCTACGACGTGCGTGCCCCGCACGGACGACTGCGCGAAGCATTGCGTGCGTTGTCGAGACCCCAGTTGCACAAGAACCCCTTCGCCCGCATCCGACCTGGACGCGCGCCGCCGACGTTCCCTCTGGCCTGCACTCCCCCTCTGTCGCCTCCCAAGACTTTCGCCCTCGGAGGGAAAGGTGAGGGAGGGCCTCGCCCATCTCATCCCATCCTGGGGACCTCCTCCCTCCTCCTCCTCCTCCTCCTCCTCCTCCTCCTCCTCCTCCTCCTCCTCCTCCTCCTCCCCTCCTCCCCCGAACCGCCGCGCTCCCACGCCTCCCCGAGACCGAGCAGTGCCACAGCCATGACTGGAACCTCTTGCACGGTTGTGGGAGCTTCTGCTTAGCAGGTCCGGCGACACGCTATGCCCTGCGAGCGGATAGCGTGTCGCTCCGCTCTGCGGGGCGTGAGGCCGGGAAAGGGTCAAGACGCTGACGCTTGGAAATAGGAACTTGACTAGGAGTACTTGCGGCGCGACACGCTAAGCAAAAGTTCCCGACCGTACACGGATGGAGGGCAGCTCGTTTCCGAAACGGTGCTTTCGCAGTAGGCTTAATCTGGTGTAAACTGCCAGAAATGTACACAGGTGCAACAGCTAAACGGATGGAGGTCGGCAACTATTCAAAACGGCGCTCTCGTTCAAGGCTTCATCTGCATCGCTACTGACAGCTAAGCCCACCTGTGTAACAGCTACTCCTGTTCTAAGCGAGGCTCTCGCTCTAGGCTCCATCAAACCTTGCGTCCACAAGCACGAACACATGCACGGATCGAGGGTGGCCCCTCAAAACGGAGATGTCGCGGAGATGTCTAAGGCTAGAAACTCATGTGAGTGCAACAGCTACTCGAATGGAGGGCGATTGATATTCAAAACGGTTCTTCCGCTGGGCAAGCACTGAACTATCTGACGACATGTTTGTGAACGTGCTATACATCTGAAGATGAGAGGAGCAGATCATTTACAAGACGGGGCCCTCGATCAAATCGCAGGCCCGCGGGGCGATCACTTTTCAAGGGGACGCGTTCCGTAGTGAGAAGCGACACTTGTAGTTGTAGGGGCTGGTGGGGCGGGGACCTGGGAGGAGAGGCGTAATGCCGCCTCTGTGACGCATCCTTGGCTCATTCTTGCCCTTCTCCTCCTCCTGCTCGTCCTCCCCCAACCAGTTCCCCATTCCTGCTCATGCATCCTTTTTTCTCCCCTAGAAACCGAAGAACAATACAAACGTCATCATCAATCTGTCCGTGCGATTTGTTTGAACTGGCTCTGGACCTCCCTCCCTGGCGCGCGGAGCACGCCAGCAGCTGCGCATGAGGCGCCGCCAGGGGGTGGTCCAGCGCAGACCCAAGAGATCCGCGCGGAGCTCCGAATGAGCATGTGTATGCAGATTGTTATCCTTCGACTCGAGCTCCCTCATCCTGTTCATGCATCCTTCCTTTGCTCCTCTGGAGATCTGGAGGAAAAAACAATGATGACCATGACCGAGATTGAACACGGAAACGTCGGTGTTGATCTTGGTCACAGTTCACCCTGGCCGCCGTCGATTTATGGACCATCCTCGAGAATCGGCGACGGCCGACATGGCCCATGGCCAGCATGGCCCTGCGACTTATTTCATGGTCAGAGTGTTTCGTTCCTCGATGCTCTCCCCCTCCTCCCGATCCTTGCCATCCCCACATTCCCCCCTCCGTCTCGGCGGCCAAATGTCGACTCGGGCTCCTGAGGCAGCAGCGAGGGCCGCCGGAAGACCTTCACGCCCTGCGGAACCCAGACGTCCAGCTCCTCCCCACAGGGCGGCACCGCCACCGGCGCCCGGAGGAGCTGGCGAAGGAGGAGGGGGGAGGCAGAGGAGGCAGAGGGGGAGCAGGGGGATCACCACAGGGCTGGACCTAAACGGTGTTTTTCGTTTTCGTGCTGTTTTCGTTTTTTCCTCGTTTTGTCTTGAATTCTCGCCTTGCTGCAAAGCGACATCGAAACGAAAACGGCCCACAACATCGCCAAAACACAGTTTAGGTCCACCCCTGGAGCCCCACCCCCTCCTTCAACCCTTTCCCTTATAAAGAATTCATCCCTGTCGCTCCCCCAGGCGTGTCGGTAGGGCGGGCGGGGCGCTCTGCCGTAGACTTCCTCACCGTCTCGGGTTCTGAAGCCTGTGCAACAGCTGCGGAAGAGCACAGGTGGATGCTTCAAATCGTGCTCTCGCCTTCGCGGCGCCCATTCGTCTTCACATTGCTGTAACAGCTTCAAGGACCTACGGGGGCCCGACCACAAGAAACCTTCCACAAGAAACCAAACCCTGGAACCCCAGGACGTCAATCGTTTTTTGGTGTGGGAAGGTCACGCCTTCCAACGCAAAACCGTCGAAACCCAAGAAACTCCTAAAGGCAAGCAGGGTGTTTCGTGGCATGGGCCCCCACTGTATCAAGTCGGGCCTCTCACATTGGCGCCGTCACCTTTCAAAAGGACGCTATCGCTGGAGACTCTGTTAACCTTAGCTCCCAGAACTTCCACGCATGTGGCGCAAGAAACCCAACCCTGAGACCCCAGGACGTCCCTTGGTTTTCGGTGTGGGAACGTCACGCTCTCCATCGCAAAACCATCGAAACCCAAGAAACCCAGGGCACCCTGGAGGCAAGCAGGGTATGTCTTGACATGGAGCCCCACTGTATGGGGAAGCGGTCCTTCTTCGAAATGGGGATACCGCTAGACACCCGGCTGAACTGTTTGATCACGGTCTCTTGCACTCCTAGCTATGTGAGTGAAAGAAGCAACGCGATTCCCTTTCAAGCGGGGCCCTCGCCAAAATGGTAGGCCCAACTGTTCTGATATGTCAAGGGGGCTCGCTTCTTGTAGTGATCAGAGAAGGTTGTGCGTAGGGGAGTCTGTTAGACTGAAACTCTTGAGATGCTTCGATCTTTAAAAAAATGCGCAAGCGTACCCAAAGGTGACCAAACGTGCGCGCCCGCGGGCTCGCCCATCGAAGTGCCCCAAAATGTCCCAAAGCGCCCACGTGCGCCCTAAAGTGCTAAGGTGCCCCAGAATGGAGCTGCCGTTGGAGCGCTCTCTCTCTCTCTCTCTCTATCTCTCTCTGCGCGAAAGGGCACAGATGCCCCAACGCACGGCGGGGAGGCCCCGCCCGACAGGTCGGGACTGTCAGATCGCAAGGGAAGAAGCCCTGGACCCGTCCCACGCGCCCCGCGCACCGCGGCCGCCAAACGCAGATTGGGCGGGTGACCTCTGGGCATCCCGTCGACGCCCCGCCGCGCGCTGTCGGGCGGGAGCCGTTCGATGCAGAGCAGGTCACGCTCGACCTCCCCAACCCTGCGCGACTCCGCGCGCGGCTCGCCAGACCTGGCGCGTTGCCTGTTCCTCTCCGGCGCCGGCGCGTTGTCTGTCATTTGCGGTCATTTCCTCCGCCCAAATACAAACATCCATTTGAAAACAAACACCCCGATCAGCTTCTACTATGAGGCGGGGACTTGGGACGGGAGGGTTTATGGCAGCATCGCTGATGCAGCTTCGGCTCCCTCTGGTCCTCCCACCTCCTCCTCCTCATCATCATCATCAGCAGCATCATCAGCATCAGGTTCATCATCCGCAGTATCATCATCAGCATCATCATGATGATGAGCATCATCACTAGCAACATCATAATCAGCATCATCATGATGATCGTCCTCATCGCCAGCAGCATCACCACCATCATCAGCATCAGCATCAGCATCAGCATCAGCATCAGCATCATCACCACCACCGCCTCCATCATCATCATCGTCATCATCATCAGCATCATCATCATCATCATCATGATCATCATCATGGGGACCGAGAGCCAGGCGAGAAATGATTTCTTCCTTTCTGAGGCACTGGCGCGCCTGGGCAAATCTGAAATCTGTCTTCGAGAACACTACTCAGTCATCGCGATGAGACCAAAGCGAGCGGAGGGCACAGATATTGGGGTGGCCCTGGAGGCACCGCCCGCTTCCGCTCGACAAAAACGTCCCAAAGCATCCCCCAAAGCACCTGAGGATGTGACTCAAGCTTGAAATAATTTAGCTCGGATAGGGGCCGCTAGCACACGAGCCAGCGCACGATTGAGCTGCGCTGGGTATGGCTGTGCTACCTGTGTCCACGGCACGCCGCTTGGCGCCGAACCCGAAAGGATTATATGTTTACGACCCGACCGGCTGCAAGAGCCGCTGGTACCTCTACACTTGCGCGACAGCCCCTGGAGGTCCTGGAAGGGAATGCTCCCGCACGAAAGGGTCGTGCGTTTCTTCCAGGGGGTACCGAACTGACAAAAATCTATGGTCAACGTAGCCACGGGCGGGGGGGAGGCCAGGCGCTGGAACTCAGGAGTTTTAAACATATAGCTCGTGTACGGGTTTTACAGGATCCAAGAGGCACCAACAGCGTTGCACTCCCGAATTATGGCCAGTGAGGCCCTACAACATCTGCTACCCTCCCTGTGTTTTTCCAGTCTCTCAGGCTGACCTCCCCCCTCGAAAAACCCGATGGCCTGCGGACAGAACGAGTAGGCGCAGCACGGATGCGCGCTATGCTGAAGCTGCTGCAAGGGGGCGCCAGCATCACTGCTAGGCAGCGGCGCCTGCGTATGTCTGCCAGGAGCGGCTTCAGCACTCGGCTGGAGGTGAGGTCGCCATGCGATCCGTGGGAGATCTCCCACGTGCGAGCCTGGAAGCCAAGCTGCCTCAAGGCCTTCGCGACCCCCCCCCCTTGCCAGCGAAACAGTCGGCAATGCACTTATCCCTCATCATGTCCGCCCCGAAGAGGGGGGCGGCACGGGGCGCGCGTGGAGGTCGATCTCCATGCCGTGAAGCCTGTACTCCTGGAGGTGGGCCTGGAGGACGGCCAGGTGCTGGTGGGCCGACTCGGCAAGCGCGGCGTGCTTCACATGACGAGTGGTGCTCTCGCTGGACTTCCACTGGCCCCGCCACCAACCCTCCCACGAGGAGCGGGAGCCCCGACCGCGGCCCACGCTCGGGCCGCTGCGGCGCGTTCGGGACGGGACCAGGTTCGGCGCGCCCATCGGCCGAGCAGCGAGACGAAATGTGCGGAGGTACTTTTTGTAATCGGGATTTAATCGGGGTCGAACAGGAGGCCCGACCCTGCCGCGGTCCGCAGGCGCTCCCAGAGCGGGATCAGGTTCCTGGCCCAGACCTCGCGGTCGAGGTGGTACATAGCGTTCGCCAATCTGAACCAGACGCCGCCCACTTCTGGCTTCTGAAAGCGTCGGGGGCAAAACCTGCGCCACTCCTGAAGCGCCCCCCAAGCCCGAAGGAACCGCCGGGAGCACCGGCGGCCGTAGGGCACATGGAGGTGGATCCAGCCCACCAGAGCGCTGGCCGCAGTCGACCGCCGAATACCCTTGAAGAAGCACTCCTCGGGGTATGACGCGACACCGGCGTCCACGGCGTCGGCCTCGGCGCGCTCCACGATGGCGCCCTGGGCTGTCGTGAGCGTCGCGAAGGGCTTCACCTTGTAGGTGTACTCTAGGTGGAGCTGGTCCGTCGCCACGCGCTTCTCGAGCACTGTGGCCCCGCCCCCCTCGCCCTCGAACTTCCCCCCGAGGTAGTGCCAGAGCCGGCGCCTCGACCGTGTCTCCAGCGCTCGCCCCCGCCGGGCCGCTCGGCTGACGGCCTCGGATGCGGGCCCAGTGCCTGAGGAGCTCGGCATGGGCGGCCTCCGAGTGCTGTGCCTCCCGATGTAGCCCCCGCTCTCCTCGGGGACGGTCCGCTCCACCCAGTCATCGAAAGTCTGGCTCACAGGCGCCCTCGGCTGCAGGAGAAGCCCTAGCGACGGCAGCGGGGCGAGCTGTCTCGCTCGCCAGGTACCCGCCCGCGCGCCCGCGCGGGCTGGGAGCCGCGGCTCCGCTGCCACCAGGGTCCGCCCCCCCCGCGCCGAGTCGGAGCCGAGTCGGGGCCCCGCGCCTTCACGGAGGTCCGCGAAGTCAAGGTCCACCACCGCTTCCGCTCCTTGCTCATCGGCCCGAGCCCGTGGCGGCCGCGCCCTGCGGACGACTTCAGGGATGGCCCATGCAAGAGACGACGAGGCCTTTTCCGAGAAGATGCGGGACGGCTCGTCACCGAAATTCAGCTCGCTCGGCACCCGCCTGACGTGCAGCCCGATGTTGCGGGCTAGCAGGAAGCCGCTCAGCTTGCGCAGGACGGTAAGTAGCGGGAAGTCCCGGCAGCGGCTCCGGCTCACGGCCAGCACCGACATGTTGTCGCAGAGGTGGAGGTGCCTGCGGTTGCCGCCCACGGCGACTTGCGCCAGCCGGCGCACGGACGCCAGCAGCGCCCGAGCCTCCAGCAGAGCGATGTGCTCGTGCCTGCCCCAAGTGCCAGCACGGCAGATGCGCCAGCCCCTCGGGTGAAGAAGGCGGGCTGGCACCTCGGGGAAGCCCTCCACAATGGACCAGTCCTCGTCGAGCTCGTCGCCCACCCGTGGCCGCCAGCGCCCATCCTCGAGCATGAAGCCGGCAGCCGCCATGGCGGACTCGCGCGGGGCGATAGTCCCTCCCCGACGAAAAAGGGCTCGCTCTCGGACTCGTCCGACGCTAGCAACGTCGAGGGACGACCAGCGGGAGCTGACGATGCCGAAGCCCTCAGGAGACGCGTCCGAAGCGGTGACATCCCTGTTCCACGGCAGCCACCAGTCGCTCTCCATGAAGACCAGCAGCCCCACGAACGCGGCGAACTCGTCCTTGACGGTCCTCCAGAGCTCGACGTCCCTCATGCACGTAGCGTGCACAAACGCAT